GTCCATTGTTGTCGTTCTGTGAGTATATCTGTTTACACAACACAACGTTTCGAAATGTTGTCACAAAATCTGTGGACATAAATAGTGCCACTGCAGTCAGAACTCTTACATAAACAATACTCGGAGACAAGTTATTCTGGACTGGATCCACAGTCACTTCAATAGCGTCGACACTGAATGAAATTGGGGGCTTGCAACAATAGATACGTAGGCCATACATGCTGTATGCCAACAGCAGGCATTCTCACGCTGAAATGCCGTTCAGATACTCTCACATGTGGCATCTTTAAGATAAAAACTCTGCCATCTGCAGGACAAAGATGTAAATTAATTCAGTGCTTTAACAGAGAAAGGAACGATGAGCTAAAATTACGAAATCGATAAAGGAAGGGAAGAATGTATATGTGAAGTAAATTGCTACAAGCAGGAAGATCACGGGATCGAATCCCGATGATGTGGATTTTTTTCAATTTACCTAATCCTTCCAGCCGCACTATGGCCCTGGAGTCGACTCAACCACTAACAGAAATGAGTACCAGGAATATCCTGGGGCTAAAGGGCGGCCGGCACGTAAGGCTGACAACTTTAGCACCATCTATGAGCCGACTCTATAGAAAATGTGGGAGCCTAAACGTCTCACAACCTTATGGGTCTCCACGGCCGTTTACAGGAATATCTTTACTTACTTACTAACAGAAAACACGGCACGTGGGTGCGTAAAGCTACGGAACTGAGCTAATTAAAACACTTCGATTAATCCTGGGGGGGGGGGAATCCAGAGATAAAGGAAAATAAAAGTATCACAAGTGTGACCCACATATTCGAGGTTCCTTATTTTGCCCTTTAAACCATTAAGTTCCTTTTCCTAAGGTTATCATGCGGTCTATGTGCAACGTACACGACATTAATGCACAGAGTGGATGAACTGTCTGTCTACTTTCAGAATAGTTCTGCTCTGAAGCTACAGAACGGACTTTAATGATATTCGGCATCGGGGAAATACATTAAAGACTGCTGGGTGAATTTCATTTTGATTGGTATCAGTACAATAGAGCTCCTATTCCACTCTAATAGGCTACCAAATGGAGTTCTACAAATTTTCTCAAAAACGTCTAGTCATACAAAAGACTGTTGTACGATTCACATAAAATGTACGTCTCATTAGCACCTGAGATGTTTATCTGCAACTTTCCCCTACATAGTGAGCATACAACTAAGTACAAAGCAAAATTATGTAACAGTGTGTACACTTTAGTATATCGTAGTGTCATTAGCCTTGTAACAAGAGGATCTGTGTTCCACGCGAACAGCTTGGCTCTTACGGTGTGCAAAAAAAGCAACGAATGCATTACTAAAAGCTCCCTCTTCAATCAGTCAATTGAGTGAAGCACAAAGATTGCGTCAAATGAACTAATTCTTTTTCCCAGCGCGGCTGCCCGGGTTCGATCCCGGATCTGGTCAAGTCGGATTTGTGGTGGATAAAGTGGCGCTGGAGCAGGTTTCCTCCGAGTACTTCAGTTTCCCCTGCCAATCTTCATTCCACCAATTGCTCCATAATCACCCTCACCTATCATCTGGGGCTGGTAAATAGGCCAGAAGTGGCCGCAGTACAAGGGACTTAATCGCACACCACTAGCATTAAAAAAAACTAAATTTAAATAAATTAGATTCCTCTCAAAAATAATTCCCCTAACACGAGCAAAACAAACAATATTAAGATTGATCTGCATGAGGCGCATGAGGATGTCGACTGCATTTATCTGGGCAAAACAGATTTCAATGGCGACTGCTGTGAATACTGTAAGGAGTCCTTCACACAGGCCTAAGGCATGACATTTCTTGATTACGTGTGCGACTATTAGCAAACGAAGACGGATCCTTCTCCATGTAGTTCCTTGCAGGCTAGGACTAGAGTTTCAGACACACCTGTTCCTTCCTAAGCGCCAAGTATCTGCTCCACGCCACGGCAAATTCAACACAAATTGTGGTGCAAAAAATGAGATCACTGCACAGAACACCTTCGAGTGGAGGAAATGAAGGAAGCTTGTGAAAACCTCAGGCAGGTTCGTCGGATATTTAAGTCGTAATACTGAGTTGTAGTCTTTCGTAAAGAATATCTAGAAATTTGATTTGTTTCATTCTGGTCCGTCACACTAACAATATTTACAAACACTGTATGTGTATATATTTTAACATACAGAACACCCGTTGTAATAGTGGTTTCCAAAGAGTATCGCTGTCCCTCTGATGATGGTCTATCTATAGGGACCGAAAAATGTAAGGGTGTTAAGAACTGAAGAAGTAAAAACTTCAACACACTGGACGGAGTTCTTTTATCTTTATACGTGTAATATCTAGAAACCTTGCAATTCATGGAATGTAGGAAGTTGTTTTTTTTTTCAAACATTTTTCTTTATCTCTAAATTAGAAAAAAGTCGTTTAAGGTATAGAAAAATAAACGGCTATGCGAGTGTTAATGTTTTTCAAACGAGTAGTATGCCTGCAGGCTGTTCAGTCACACCAACACGTATGGCAAAAGTGAGGTTCGAAAAGACAAAAGACAGAGAGAGGGATAGAGTGGGGAAAAAAGAAATAAAAGTGAGCGTTTACGTAATTTGCTTTTCTGTGTCAAGGTAGTCACTTAGGCGCATGCGTCCAACTCTGGGAGGCTGTGTTCAGTTGTCTGTACTTTCAGACACAAAGATAACTTCATATTCTCTATCCGTTCCGAAAGAACATTCTGTTCCATTTTTTAGCGTTCGGTAAGCGCGGAAAATAAATCCATAGCCGGTATTTTGATTCATATAATATTTTTGTCAAATTCCATTCTTGATTACAATGATATTAGGCGTATATAGGCCTACATTTTCTGCTTAGTGCGTCAATGAGTAACTTTGAAAAAAAATACCGTATCGTATAGACTTGAACACTTCATCGTTCGTCATTGAAAGTATTTTTCCTCATTCTCTTAATTCTGACTTCGGCATACGGCCAATGACATGTCAATGGACCGTTATATCGACTACAAAAATATTTTATCCATCACTGAATACGTCGCATCAAAATTAGGCAGGCAAATTGGCGATTTCAAGCCAAAACCATCATCATTGGTCGTAATAATAATAATAATAATAATAATAATTTTCATGAGCTATATAGGATGAGGTTTAATTGTCTCAATTAGGTGTAGTTGGCCTCACCAAATTTCCTCGAAAGTACTTCACCCCACCGGCTTATACTCCACTGCCTTACTTACTTACTCATGGAGCTGAGCACTTCTGGAGGAGCCTCTAATTCTGCAGCTACTCAGAATTTCCCGGCGTTTTATGGAACCCGAGCCCAGTTGAGTAATTTGTTTGTCTTCGTGTAATTTTTCTTCTTTACTTCCCATGTCTGGTCTGATTACTATAGGAACCATAAGAGCCTCGTATAGTGCGTAAAGCGATATACAACACTATTCTGTTGCTTGGCGTCCGTATCATGCATAAAGCGATCACAATGTGCCAGTCATGGTGGTAAACAATAGAAGGAATATGTGACATGACATCCTATCACAATTTTGTATCTCATTTCTCGTAAAATGAAACTGTGTATTCACAAGATTGTCACAATAAATAAGCAGTATTGCTATTTCAGTGCAGTTTATGGGTTTGAGATTATCCGAAAGAAGAACGGGGACTTCCCCTTGATCAGTATATGTGCTGCAGCCAATCACTTTTCTAGTCTTCAGTCTGACTGTATCTGAAGCATTAAGTTCGCTCTCTCTTATTTCAGTCTGTACATCGTTGTTGGTGCAGTCTTATAATATACAATAAAGTTCGTATAAATGTCATTTGACTGCAAGTTCCCAATTTCTAACTTTCCTTTATTGCTAGTGGGGTGGGACTACGTCCCTTGTATTGCGGCCACTTCTGGCCTATTGTACCAGCCCCAGATGATAGATGAGGGTGATTGTGGAGCAATTGGTAGAATGAAGATTGGCAGGGGAAACCGAAGTACTCAGAGAAAACCTGACCCAGCGCCACTTGTCCACCACAAATCCCACTTAACCAGACCCGGGAATGAACCCGGGCCGCCGCTTGAGCTATGGCGCGGCCAATTTCTAACTTACTACAATATTTCAGATTTACTTTTACTGTGATGTATTCTTACGTTTTCTTTCTTATAACACTTGTTTGGCGAAATTTTTCTACACCAAAAACTGCAAATATTTGTCTGCTGTAAACGTTCCTTATATTTGCTCCTTTTAATTGTGTCCACGCGGGGTATTTACTTGAAGGTGGAAAAGCAAACTAATAATAAAAGTCAGTCTGTACACTACGCTCTTCCTTCCGGAGAAAACCCTACATTGCATATTCTTCAATAGAAAATGTAGCATTAGTAGCAGCAGTACAGTGAATAGACGTCACTGATTAAAGTCAAGGGAGGAAGAAGTCACTTTAGGACATATTCCTGGTGGGTTGGGAGCGACATGCACGCACTCTGTTCCTGGAAAACCGGAAGTGGATGTGCAGGAATTCGGCTGTGTGGGGACGGCCATGTGAGTGGGATAGGAGTTATTACGTGGTGTTGTAACTGAAGTGTAGGCTCGAGAAATACAACACAGATACACATGAAATACTTATTGCATTTGATTGTGTCTTCCTTCCACAGTAGTCAGGGAAGTATTCTATTTTAATTAGAGGACTAGACGAAGTGCTGGAAGGGATATTAGTTTCAACTGACAAGTGGAAATTAATTAGTGTATAGGAGCAAGTAATTAAGTGGTATATGATATATCTTAAAAAGACTTTGTTTTGCCAATTTCTTAATAGTTCTGCAAATTAAAACGGGAGGAATAGGCGGAGGAAACAAGACTAAACCGACATTTAACGTCCATAATATAGACAGAAAACGGAAATAATTTTAAAGTAATATCTCCCGGACAGTATATTTCGACAAAATACGATTTCACCAAAGAATCACTGCTGGTGTTACTAGCTTGGAAAATTCAATCTTACCTTGCAGAACGAGTCGGAGGACCTCCATAAGATAGCAACCAGAGGTATCCAGAAAACATATGCGGTAGCTAAGGCTGTTTCAAATTTGTAGGTTTCGCTCCAGTATCCCAAGGGTTCACATACCTATTAAAGAAATATACATAACATTAGAGTACAAACTTTACTGTGTTCGAGAATTATGTGTGAAGTACCATTTCTCACAATATCTTCTTCTATTCCTGTTACTCCCACTTGAAGTTTAGGGCATCCGTGAAACCCTTGTTTCACTTCAGTATCTTAATCTTAGACAGTCGGTATGACTCCTTCGGCGGGGGATCTGCCCCTCGCAAAGCCGCTGCCTAACATAAACAGAGAATAAATGCAAACAGATATCCATGTCTTAAGTGGGATTTGAATCCATGATCCCAGTGTTCGAGTAGACGAAGTTATTTCATGCCTTAGACGGCGCGGCCGCTTTGATCGGAATTTCATAATATACGTTCAGAAATTTCATTCTGCTCTGGAAAAGATACCTTTGGCCCACCGACATACTCATTTTATTAAGAAGACTCAATACAAAATGAGGGAAAAATAAAATATCTATAATGTCTCCCAGCTCTCTATCCCATGGCTGTAAATACCGTCAACACCAGGACGCAAGTTCTCCGATCTCCTGTCAGAATTCCATTAGAGTCACGCTATCTTCGTAAGGTTTCCTGCGGTTTTCAGTTGGCTGCAGGAAATGGAAGGACAGTCACCTTTACTCCAAACGTAGGCTCTGTCTCTGCTCTGTTTGAGTAAGATTCCTGGAGAATTCCAAATTGTTTCCGTGGCTGATCCCGTGGGGCTTCTCATACATTCAACTTATCAGCGGCTACCGAATTAATACCCACTCCTTGACAGGAGGAGGATATGAAGATTTTAGTTTTTCATAATCAGTCTTGTAGAGAAAATATCTAAATAATCAATAATTCCAGATTGGAACATGTTATATTATCAAATTAAAAATCAAAAGTAGAAAGATTTATTTCTTTAAGTCAAAGGTGAAAATAACGCTCATTTCCTTCTTCGATTCCAAGGGCGTCGTGCTTTAAGAGTTTGTACCCCAGGGTTAAACAGTCAACCAGAATTATTATTTGGAAATTCTGAAAAGGTTGCATAGCAGTTTAAGGAGAAAACGTCCCGATTTGTGTCAAAGACGTGAATGGTTCTTTCATGATGACAACGCGCCTGCCCACACAGCGCTGAGTGTGCAGCGATATTTGACCAAAAATGGCATGAAACCCTTGCCCCCCCCCCCCCCGTACTCACCCGATCTTGCCCGCACAGCCATTTTTTTATTTCTTCGGATGAAAAGAGACCTCAAGAGAAAACGTTTTGCTGATGTTGAAGACGTAAATAAAAAAGAAACGACGGAAGCACTGCAAGGCATCAGCAGCGAAGAATTTAAAAAAAGTTTTGAGCAATGGAGAAAACGTTTGGACAAGTGCATTGAATCAAATATATAGCACTTTGAAGGGGCTTTGTTATGTAAAAATAAATACAGATTTCTTTATAAACAAATTCCGTTTTTTTGGGTCCCCCTTCATATATTCAATTATTATTGAATCGATATTCACAATAGTCTCCTATCTCAGTAAACGGAAAACATTAACCCCCACTCTCTCGGAAAGTGAGGTTGTCCCCAACGTGTTTAACGACGCTGGATTCTCAGTTTCAAGAGTTATATAGCGGTAGACGGATGCTTTGCCGGTCACGGTAGCCGAGCGGTCTAAGGCATGTACTGTCTTCGCTCGCTTGGAAATCGGGATCGTGGGTTCGAATCCCACTCAGGGCATGGATGTTTAGTTTGTGTGTGTGCGCTTTTCTGTATTTGTGTACAGGTAGAGGCCTTGCTACGAGGTGATCACCCGCCCAAAGAGTCCTACCGAATGTGTAAGATCTAGAAAAAACCGAAGTGAACGGAGAAGTTCATGGATGTAGGCCTAGGCCCACGGGGGCTGTAGTGCCACGGAAAAAAAAGAAGGATGCTCTGTTGGAAGTGATGTGGATCGACAAGATCACGGCCTGTCTGTGATATACAGCATTTCAACTGTTCCGGTACGCTGCTTGGAAGGGCCGCTGGAAACACACGCCAGGATAGCCCATCTCTGGGCAGAAACCTGAACCCAGAAACTCCCGAACGTGAACGAGGGGTGCTGAGCATTTGACAGGGATGATCGTTTGTAAGCATGTGGTAACTAAATCTATTACGTCACCAGAAATACTAAAAAAAAATCGAATGAGAAAATGAAGCTAATGATATTATTATTTTTGTGGGAGAAAAAGCCAACATTCCGATGGGGAGCATCAGGTATCGGAACGAAGGTTGTACTAACCTCATATTTACTTGTTCACTGCCTGATATCTGAACCAACTACAGGCTTAAACTTGCGACTTATTTCTACGCAATGTTTCTAATTTATACCACTATGACTCCTACTAGCGTCACAAAGTTCTGACCTAATTAAAACTGCAAGTTCACTATTACTGTGTGCGTAACACACATAAGCCGACAATAATGTTTGCTACACGATACATTAATCAGAAGGGCATGCAAAGCTGGCAAAACGAAACGAAATGTGCATTAGAAAGATTATCGTAATTACTCTAAAAACAAATACTATTTTGAAAAGCGTATTCATTTCAATTTATCTCTTACAATTTTTAAATAATTGCCTAAAACTATAAATGAAGAAAGAAAGACAGAAGAAAGGATGAAAAAACAGACAGAGAAGAGAGAGGGAAGCGAAAGATAGAGAATAGAGGAAGAAAAGAAATGGAGAGTAAAGTAAGTAAATGGATCCCTGTAACCGGCCGTGAAGGCCCATAGGGTTTGACATGTTGAGGTTCCCACATTTTCTATACAATCGGCTCATAGATGGCGGCAAGGTTGTCAGCCTTACGCGCCGGCCGCACTTTACCTCAAGAATATTCCTGGTACTCATTTCTGTTAGAGGCTGAGTCGACCCCAGGGCCATAGTGCGGCTGGAAGGATTAGGTCAATTGAAAAAAACCCAATGACCTCATCGGGACTTGAACCCGCGACCTTCCGGCTTGTAGCATAGTGCCTCAACCAAATACGTTACCGCGTGCCCCGTAGAAATGGAGAGGGAAAAGGAAAAAGTAAAGGGAAATTTCTTTCGGCATAAAGTGGATAACACGGCAATGGAATTGAGGGAACCGTTCACCTTCAAGCGCGCGCCACAACACACACACACGCATAGGTATCTCAGGGCCCATATAGAAATTACTTTCACATTTCTCAAAGCGTAATCTTTGGACAAAATGAGACTAGTTCGATCGTCCTACAAGACACTCACGTGCTTCTGCAGCCCTGGAAATGATAGTATCGGATTCCTGCTTCGTTAAAGTTTTCCGGAAGAAAAATTCAAACTGGCTTAAACACTTTTGGGTGATTACGTCGTAAACCTTAAGCTTTTTCTTCATACCTCTTCTTTCCTTCTTTCCTCTATCTTCTTTCTCCCCCCCCCCCCCGTTCCTCTCCCTGTTCTCTTTATCTCATGAACATAATTATCTGACTTCACGTATCGTAAGAACAAGGGATTGGTCTGTAATGACGTCATGGGAATAGTCTTGTCTCATACAAAGTGGAAGCACATAGACTGCGATTCGAGTTCCGTTAATTTTTAGCGGTCCATCAGAAACAGAAGGAAAGTCACAGCTCCGACATATTCCTTAAAATGTGGACTTTGTCTTTGAATTGCTTCGACTTATAACCGTCTTCACATTCCCACGTGTCACAAACTTGTAAAGGTCACGAGAACTTAAAATTCTGAAATGATCAACTGACCACGCTCTTCAGTGTCTGCGTTCCGTGCTATTTCACATCCTAAAGTAAACTACAGTTTCATTAACGGCTGTTGAAGTGACATTAACATTTTTTTTTCTTTGGCCCTACAGCCCCAATTTGGGCCTTGGCCCACCTCCATGAAACTCTCCGTTTCACTTCGGTTTACTAGATCTTAGACATTCGGTAAGACTCCTTGGGCAGGTGATCTGCTCGTCGCAAAGCCTCTACCTGCATAAAAACACAGAAAAACGCGGGCGCACACACAAACACCAAATATACATACCCTGAGTTGGATTCGAACCCATGATCCCGGTTTCCGAGCGAGCGAAGACAGTGCATGCCTTAGTTCGTTCGGCTACCTTGACCGGCGACATTAACGTTATATATTCTAAAAATGTGTGGGTTAAAATTTAAATTCATTATGTCAAGTCGAATCATAGTAAGCAAAAGGGCAAAAGGGCAAAATGGTTGGCCAGCATGGGCATGACTATGCGATTTGCACACTGCTGTTTGCTCCCAGATATTAGAGCAGTTGTTCTGCTTTCCCTGATTCAAGGCCAAGTAAAGCAGCCCCGGGATTCACGACATTCAGTACCCTTTATGCGCCACATTTTTATGGCACACATGACGGTCTACAACTTTAATTATTTCTAACATCCTTAATACTGATTATTTATAAAGGAAAACCGATGCCTATGCATTGTATCAGATTGAAAAATATTCCGTAATTATTCACTTAAACAAATTAAAATTATACGAAATCATTTTAACTTCAGACACTTGGCGGCCTTCGTAGTCTAGCGGTAACGTTCCCATCTCATGACTCGTAGTACGCGGGTTCAAATACCCGGCGGAGGTCGTCGAATTTTTAAGGGCGGAAAAATTCAGGGAACAAGTCCACCGGGAGGAACTTTAAGCGGCGGGTCCCGTGTCGTAGCTTTACGGCACGTAAAAGAACCTCATATCTCCAAAGGAGGTCACTGAGCCAAATTAACGGACGATTCCCGCCCAACAGCAGTCTCTAATACCTCTGGTAGATGGGGGAAGCATTATGGATACCTCTCAGCTAGTAGAGCCGGTCTCGCTGGCTGGGCGGGACTGATGGTAAGCACCAATACGGGTAGGATATAGAGACTGGTAGAAATCATAGAGGGAAGCACAATGGACCAATACAGGTCTCAATGCATGGGGAAACCCACCCTCTCCAATAACTAACTAACTAACTTCAGACACTTTCAATGCCATGTTTCAAACAGCACCAACTCCAATGTAGGACTAATAGTATTTTCGA